TTTACCAAGTTTTTTGCATAATCACATATTTCTAATAACAATATATTTGTATATTCATTTAATATTTTTTAATTATTTTTTATCATATATAACTTAATTATAACAAGAACTTGTGTGTAACCCCTCAAACCCACATGTACCATTTATGTAACAAATGTATACATAATTACAAGCAAACGAACATTTACATAACCACACGCAACACAAGATTATAACTCTCATCGCCAAGACAGACGAACGCACAAACCATTCAACCACACTGACCGGCCCAAAATGACATGTAGTGAGCACGCCCCACAGTGACGAGAGTGAATTACACAAGCCGAATCTCGGACAAAACATACAATGTACAGTATTTTAATACATTTTAACACATACTGTAGTAAGTCGAGTATTCATAATTCAATACGAACCACTCTTATGATTATGATTATTCACGGGGATAAATACTGTCCACAATCGGCTGGAAAAAACTTCCGGCAAACATTCACATACCAACATTCGCACAAGGCGTAGCGATTCGCCACTGCATATAAATAGTACGGTCGAGTGTCTCAAAAGAGCACACGTGTTTACTGTTTATACTGTACATTCTGTAAGTGAATGTGTTTTTATACGTTACTTTGTACATCGTTACTTACATCGTTTATTATTATCTTCGCCCTTATCAAGTATCCTATTAAATATGATAATATTGTTAACATGTCTTTACTGTATTTCATTGGTGCTCACATTTATTATGTTTATTATGTTGTATTTTGAACACAGATGTTTTAAATTGTCATAATTTTGACAATAACTTTGTACTGTCATTTTAACAGAATTAAAGAAATATAATTGTTATGTTTTGAAAGCTGAAATGTTTTGAAATACAAAGTAATGGGTGTCTCTGAATTGTTTTGTTACGGTTTAATAACATGGTCATAGTCCGAAACACATGAACGTTTATTTGTTATAGAAAGATAATCATGGTATATTGTGTTTAATTTAGTTTCATTTAATTACTTGATGTAAGAAACAAATTCTGAAGTTTCACATAAAAATAACAGCGTATTTCTTACCACATAAATGCATTGTCGTCTTCAAAACATTATTGGTGTAATAATAATTACACATTCCAATCAACTTCTGGATAATATTTAATTAAGGTTTTTTGCAATACTACTTTCGAACAAAACGCCTGTTTTTGACATTTTCAGTCGACTTGCTTCTTTTCTAAAAAAACCCTGTTCAGATTCAGATTTGAGAGGTTATAGGTAACCATCACGGGAATGAGTTGTCAAACTTTAAAATGCAATTGCGTGCATTTATTATAACGTATGGTATTTTTGAGATATTCAAATTAGTTTGCTTTAAAAGACATTTCAATATAATAATCAAGAAAATATAAATCTAACGCATACATTATCATGCATTAAATTGGACGGAAATTTAAATAATTACGATGTCACAATAGGATTGTGTGAATAAATTAGCATAAATTATTATACATTAAATATTAAACGAGGACGTCGGGACTGTAGATAAATTATATCATAAATTTTATTTTTTTTAATCTTACGAGTAAGGAAGTCAACGTGAACTATTTGGCATAAATTATTATAATTTATTATAACTTGTTGAATAGTACAAGTAATGATGTCACATACACGGCATACATTTTATGATTGAACGATAGAGGGCGCTCACATACTCACACACGCACACACACACACTGCTAACGTTAATAAAAATACATGGTGTTTTTGCATACTAACGGACTTTATTACATAAAAGAAGTAAAGCTGTTAAACAACTACGCCAACACAATAGCTAAGAATCTGGCCAAGACTCAAACTTACGAGGTGCACATGCAGCAATATTTGTTATGTCATGGAATGTGCATGGTCTGTTATGTAAACAAGATGACACAGATTTTCATTGTTTTTGTAATAATTTTGATGTATTTAGTTTACTGAAACATGGTGTATTGATATAGATGATGTAAATTTGCTTTCTGATTATGTTGCATTTAATTGCCCCGCTGTAAAATTTAAGAACCGGGGAAGAGCAAGTAGCAGTGTCGTCACTTATGTTAAAACAAGTTATTCAAAGGGGCTTAAATGAATGCTTCCTGAAACCACGGGGGCGGTGATTTTGTTATTAGATAGTCTATTTTTTGGTTTTAAAAATAACATTTTGCTTGTTTTTACATATGTCCCTCCAGAGGGCTCAAAATGGTATTTACAGAATGATGACGTAAT